CTTCCCCCCCCGCCGCGCTACGTGTCTGCACTGGCACCCCCCACCACTGCACTGCGTGGCCCCCTCCCTGGACACACCCTCAGCTCCCCTTGCTGCGCCACACTGCCCCATTATCATTTCCTGTGATACATTTAAATCCTATACACACTCCTGAATCGTGGACTGATCCTGGATTATTTAAGGCAACAGGAGTATTGCCATTGACTTCCAGGGGAGCAGTTGCAGCCCCTTTATTAAACACAATTCAAATATAATTAACAACAACTTTAAGGACATTTATCCCATTTATGTCTCTGGCATCTATAGGAGGTCTGGCACCAGAGCATATGAGCTCCAGTTTTATTCATTTGCAGATTGTGAGGCAATAAGCATATCAAGACTTGCAATCACTCCAGTAAGATCAAGAACCTATCATTAGCAGTAAGTAAATGGTTTTGTCTATATTCTACTTTTGTTACAACAAACACCAGTTACCAAATTACGGTAAATTGGTGTTGCTTGACAATTCATGAATGGATATAACAAAGTTGTGTTTACTACAACGTTTGTACTGTCCGTTCAGATTGATCCTAGCATCGATGGGGTCCAAAGTGACTCTAGATACAGATACATTTTAATATAACGATAAAAAAGGGGGTCTTTAGCCCTTGCAAACAAGGATTTTTGCCCTGAGGACTGGGATACACAGCTATGCTAGAGCATACTTAGTGGAAGGAAACTCTATCAGGATTTGGCTGCTTATTTATCAGGGGGATGCAGGGAGAGAAAGAAGAGAAAACCCTTACCCAACTTGTCCAGAAAAATCATGCTAGTACCCGATCAGCAGAAATGTTTAGACATGATTTAGCTCTGATCCGTATTTGTGCAGTACACTGCCTCTTAAAATTTCTTATCACCCTCCCCTTCTAGCTGCCGTTTAAGAAAACATTAACAACATTACCTTCAGACTCTAGGTAACATATTGATGAGTAATGTATGAGAACCTATACGTTTTTAAATAGTAAATATATGAAGAGATTTGACAAAAACTCTCCTTGCGAGTACCACTTTTCTGTTTGCAGCATCCTTGAAAGCGGTGGTCATGTTGAAAATTCCCAGCCACGTAAAGCTGGAAATTAATAAAAGACTGTGGCTTGCCATGAGATTTCTAATAGAATATCTCTCCCTTTAATTAACCAACAAGGTGATGCACTTGTAAATGTCTTTTGTACACAAAACTATAATAAGAAATA